CACAGCACTTGCCTAGCAATAGTGAGGCCCTAGTCCCGTGACCAATATACCACACATATGCACACATACACACATACCTCTACACATACATACATCACTAAATATACACACACACTTCTACACACATACACAAACACATAAACATACTCATACAACTCTACACACACATACCTACACACATACAGCCATATACATACACACACACCCCTACATCATATACACACATGCACAAACATATACATATACATCTATACACAAAAATACCTATATGCACACCCTACACACATACATATATGGGCACACACACACACACACACACACACACACACACACACACACACTGTGCTGCTCAGCAGCTAGCTCTTCCCTCACAACACTAACAGAAACACAATCATCTCTTTTAGAACAGCGGTCATCCATGTCACTCAAACATTACACTAGATAAGTCCGGTTTTATCACACCGTTCACCTCCTGTTGGCTGTAACAACAGAGCAATAAATCTGAAGTCAAAAAACAGTTTCAGGAACTCAGAGAAAGATTTCTTTTCTTTGGACCTCAGTTTCCTCCTCGTGTAAAAACAAAAGGCTGTGTGTTTTCCAAGTCTAGTCTCCAACTACCTGTGGATCACGACAAAAGGAAAGCTGGAGACAGGCAGGACTGGGTGTTGAATTCCATTCTTCATATTCTTGGGTGAGTGGTGACCTGTCGGGGACTCTGTTTTCCATCTGTAAAATGGGACTGTTGTGCTGTCACTGAGATGCTGTGAAAAATAAAGGGGGAAACGCCTATCTCTCCAGGGCAGAGGTACTCACCACTCACCTGCCCTCCTTTATAGCAGGTGTGTGCGTGTGTGTGTGTGTGTGCGTGTGTGTGTGTGTGTGTGTGTGTGTGTGTGTGTGTGTGTGTGTAGAGGGATGCATGTGTGAGTGTTTGGGTGTGTGTGTAAAGAGGTATGTGCGAGTATAGGAGTGCATGCATGTGTATGCGCGCATGCACGCACTTGTGCACATGTGTGTGTTCAGTGCGCTTGTCCATGTATGTGCATGTTGAAACCAGAAGTCAATGTTGAGTGCCTTCCTCTGTTGTTCTCCACCTTTAAAATTTCTCTATTACATTTTTATTTTCTTGCATGCATGCATGCCCATACCACCACACATGTGTGGAGGTTGCTTCTCTCCTTCCACTGTGTAGTTTCTGGGGATGGGTTCAGATTGTCCATCTCAGCAGTAGCCTCACCCACTGAGCTGTCACCCCAGCCATCCTCCTAGTTGGCAAGGTGGGGTCTTTCACCAGGAGCTCACTGTCTGACCTAGACTGGCTGCCATGGAGCCTCTGGAGCCTGACTGTCCCCCAGGGCTAGGATTATAGGTAGCTGCTGCCACACCTGGCTTTTACATGGGTGCTGCAAAACCAAACTTAGGTCCTCCTATTTACACAGCAGACCCTTTACTGACTATCTCCCCAGCCCTGACAGCTGACAATTTTGATGGAGCCTGAGCAATCTCTATTTGGTTTTATTGGTTTTTTATCCTCGTTACATATAGAAAGGCTTTACCTGAAGCAAGGGCACCAAGATTTACTCACATTTTCTTTTAAACTAATAGTTTCATAGTTTTAACTGTTTAGCTCAGCAATCTTCTCTGAGTAAGTTTTTAATGTGTGGGGTGGAGAGCTCTCGCTTCACTCCTTGGCACACCCATGTCCAGTAATTTGCTGAAGAAACTCTACTTTCTCTCTCAAGTGGCCTTGCCTCTGTAGCTGCCAATCAACTGATCACAAAGCACAAAGCGTGGGCTAGTTTTTGGATCCAGTGGAGCCATCAAACCTATGACAGTACCTTGGAGTAAGTTATAAGCATGGGAATGGCCAGCTATGGTGTTACGTGTCTTTAATTCCAACTCTGGGGAGGCAGAAGCAGGCTGATTTCTGGAGTTTGAGGTCAACCTGATCTACATAGTGAGTTCCAGGACAGCCAGAGCTATGTAGAAAAAACCTGTCTCAAAATAAATAAATAAAAATAATAAATAACTTGAGGGTGTTACTGTAAAAAAAAATACTTAAAAATTTTAAATCCATCTGGGATCCTCAGAAGGAGTGCACTGGACCTGTGGGTCACTTTGGGAAGTTCTGGCATCTGGACAATAATGTCTTTCGATCCAAAAGTGTGAGATGTCTTTCCATTATTTCTAGTTTTTCTTGAGACAATGTTTATTATTTCCAGAGAAGAAGCTTTGTGTTCCGGTGGGATTTATTTTCCTTCATGCTTTTTAAGTGGAGCTCTTTTGGGATTGTTCATTGTTTAGACAACACACTCATGCTTGTATTTCGTGTGATTGTTGACCCTCATGTACTTGTTTAGTAGCCTTTTAAGAATGTTTTATTAGTATGGGGTGGGTGTGCCATGGTGAGTGTGGTGCTCAGAGGACAACTTTGCATAGCCAGTTGTCTCCTTTCACCTTTATGTAGGTTCTGAAGATGGAACTCCAATTATCAGGCTTCATTTTCCTGCTGAGTCATCCTACTGGCCCCTCGTTATTAAATATGTTTGGTGGGTTATCCAGGATTTTGATGCATACAAAATCATGTCACCCAGGAGAATTCATTGTTTTACTTTTTTACGTTCCAATTTTGATGTCTTTTATTCCAATTTTGTCCCAAGAATGCTCAGTAAAACACTGGTACAAATGAGGGAAGACATCTTGGTCTCGTCCCTGATCCTTCCCTCCAGTTGCTCTTTTTATCTTTAATTTTTGAGATGGGTCTCTCACTGAACCTGGAGCTCATTAGTTCAGCTACACTGGGCTGGCCAGTGAGCTCCAGAGATCTGCCTGTTTCCAACCCGTCCACCTCACCCCAGCACTCGGTGTTTTGCGCCACGGGCTTTTTGATGTGGGTTCTGGGGATGTGAACTCAGGTCCTCATCCTGTGCACTGAATTTTCTGCTGTGGCTTTCAGGCTGGAGACCTGCTTTTCTAGTATGTGGAGTGCTTCTGAGAATTCCACGGCCTGTGCTTCGGCCTGTGCTTTCGTTTGCCTCTGCTTAAAATACTTTCCAGCTCCCCTTTTGAATTTCCAGATTTTCGTTTTGAATGCAAGGGAGTTTCCAGACATTGAAAGGAAAATTTCTTTCTTTCTTTTTTAATACTCATTTTATTATTTTTTTAAATTTAACTTCTTTATTGATTCTTTGGGAGTTTCACATCATGCACCCCAGTTCTGCTCACCTCTCAGTCCCCCCATATCCTCCCCTCCTCACCCCTGCAGTACCTCCCCATTAAACAAAACAAAACAAAACAAAGTAACCAAGCAAACAAACAAAAACAAGAACAACACCAAAAAATAAAAATAAAACAATAACAACAAAAACCTCTTTGCTTCTCCTTCTTTCCAGCCTCTCCATCACCTCTTCATTCATCTTGGTGGCGTTGGGAGAGGTGTGTCATACAGAGTATACCCTTTTGTCCTGTCAGCTTTACTAGCAATGTTCATTGCAATGAGTCACTGGTCTGGTTCAAAGGCCTCCAGTTTTTAGCACACCATCATCACTGGATCCTCACCAGAACTCCTCTAGGATATCTCGTTGTTGCCCTGACTTTTGGAGATCCTGCAGGTATTGTTCCAAAGGACCGATCCCTTCACAAGCTCTAGCGGGTCCAAGATGGAGTAGATGCTAGGGTGGGCCAGCCCAAGGCCTGACTGTGGGCCTGGGTGGTAAGCTGAGCTGATCAGTCCCTGCCACTGGGGCCACCTACCTCAGGTGAGGGGGCAAGATCAGCTCCTCTATGTCCACACCCTCAGGGTCAGTTCACTCTCACTTGCCGTGAGGTATGGGGCCATCTCTCCTGAGGGCAGGGGTCAGCTCTCTTGCTGTAGTGTCCATGGAGTGTCAAGGCCAGCTTTCCCAGGGCACCGAGGAGTGGAGCTGGCTCAGCACGGCCCTCTGATTTCAATTTGAATGGTTCCTAAGACCTTCTGAGGTGACATGGGCCATAGACATCAACACAGACCCCAGTTGCTGCAGGACCACGGACCCACACATGACCTTTGGTAGCAGCTAGGGCCCAGACAACATCCTGGCCACTCAGGTAGGGATGGTTCTGGTGACCACATGGCTGCCGGACACTACCAAGATCTCAGGTTGCAGCCCCAACCCTGGGCTTCTATGTGACCCTTGGTGGCAATATGGAATTCAGACTTCATCATAGACCCCAGCCACAGTAGGGCCACAGACCCAGACATGGTCCTCAGCAGCAGCTGGGTCTGGACGTCACCACTGCCCCAGGTGGCAGTTCAGGTCACTCAGATCAGCACAAGCCCCAGTGGTAGGCAGGATGGCCCTCATACACCAACACAGCCCTCTCTCTCAGACCCAGAAATTGCCCTCGGCTTTAGCTCTAACCCAGACATCATCATTACTTTGAGTAGCAGCACAGGCCACTCAGGTCTGCATGTATCTTGGCCCTTGGACACCAACCTGGATTCAGGTGGATGATCTGACCCTGTACATTGTCATGGCCCTCAGTGACAGCAGGAGCCATATACGTCAATCTGGACTCTGGCTACTACAGGGCCATGAACCCAAACATGGCCCTCAGCAGCAGCCTGGGCCTGGATGACACCATGGCCCCAGGTGGCAGCATAGGCCACCTGATGGGGAATGTACTGTGTATGTTTATCTTATTGATTGTTAAATAAAATACTGTTTGACCAATGAGACAGCAAGTTAGACAGGACTAGGAGTCAAAGAGGATTCTGGGAAGTGTAGTTGAGAAGTGGTGATCCAGCAGGAAGTGACATAGCAAAGAGACTCATATTTAAGCGAAGGAGAAACAGGAAGTGTCCCTTTTCCCCTCCGCGCCTGCTCCAGCGGCACAATGTGATCCACCGGCAAGGAGGGACTCCAATAAGGCATCCGATAAGATAAGTCTTCTAAAATATATAGATTTATGATAATTGAGACTGAGCTAACAGATGAGAATCCTAGTCATTGGCCAAGTAGCTTTGTACCTAATATATCTCTGTATTATTTTGTCCATCCATGTGACAGGCAGAACTCGGGCGGCTGGGGGAGACCGCCCACGTGGTGGTAGGGCTCAGGCGGCTTTGGCAGAAAGATTTATAGTAATAGCCACTCTCACTTGTATGGTCCCTGCTGTGGCATAGCCCCCAGACTTGAACCAAGCCACATGCTGTGGCCCAGATCCCAGGCCTCTGTGTGGACCCTAGTGGCAACCTAGGCCACAGACTTCAACACAGACCCCAGCTGCAGCTGGGCCACAGACCCAGGCACGACCCCAGGCAGCAGCTCAGCCTGGTCAACATCCTAGCTCCAGGTGGAAGCACTCAGATCAGGATGGTTCTGGCAGCAGCATGCACCAACAAGGCCACAGGATGCAGCCCAGACCCCAGGCTTCATGTGGCCTTTGGTGGAAACATGGGCAATGAGCATCAACATAGACCTTGGCTGCAGTAGGACCATGGACCCAGACCAGACATGGTCCTTGGCAGCAGCCTGGCTCGGACATCAACATGGCCCAGGTGGCAAGCAGACCTCCCCCTAAGTCTACTCCTCACTGCCTTCACCATGGCCCCAGGTGGCTAGCAGGCCTCCAATAACTGCCCACTCTTCACTGTCTTCATTTCTTCCTTTCTGGGTCTTTCCACATTACATGAACCATTCTGTTTCTTCTCTCTCATTTCTCCATCACGTTTGCTTATCATAATGAGGCCCACCTGTCAGGCGCCACAGTGCACCTGCTGGGCCCATGGATCTCTTCCCACCAGCCAGAGACTTGAAGACCCTGGCTAGGTGGGGTGTGGATATCTTCCCACAGGGAATTTCTTTTCAGTGTTAATTTCTAATTTAGTTCCCTGTGGTGGTTTGGAAGAAAATGGCCTGCAAAGGGAGTGGCACTATTGGGAGGTGTGGCCTTGTTGGAGTCGGCTTGGCCTTGGTGGGGGAAGTGTGTCACTGTGGAGGTGGGCTTTGAGATCTTTTGCTTAAGTTTTGCTCTGTGTCACAGTCTCCTTCAGTTGCCGACGAGATGTAGGACTCTCAGCTACTACTCCAGCACCACATCTGCCTGCACACTGCCATGCTCCCTGTCATAATGATATGGACTGAACCACTGAAAGGGTAAGCCAGCTACCCCCACTAAATGTTTCTTTTGTAAGAGTTGCTGTTTGTCATGGCGTCTTTTCACAGCAAAAGAAACCCTAACTGTTGGGCGGTGGTGGCCCACGCTTTTAATCCCAGCACTTGGGAGGCAGAGGCAGGCGGATCTCTGTGAGTTTGAGACCAGCCTGGTCTACAAGAGCTAGTTCCAGGACAGCCTCCAAAGCCACAGAGAAAAACTGCCTTGAACTCCCCCACCCCTCCATCCCAATCCCCACCCCCCACCAAAAAAAAGTTAAGAAACCCTAACTAAGACAGAAGTTGGTACCAGGAGTGGGGAATTGCTGTGGCAGGCCCGGCCATGTTTTTGTTTGGAGTAACACGGACTTTGGGAGTTTGGGTTAGGAAAGCCATGGAATGCTTTAAGCACTGTTTAGTGTGGCTCACACTAGTAGGAGCATGGAAGACAGTGGTGCTGAATGTGATTTGATGAACTGTGGTGATCAAGAGGTTTCAGAGAAGACAGTTTGTGGCCTAGAGACTGGTCATATGATATTTTGGTGAAGGAAGTGGCTGCTTTTGGCCCTTGTGTAAAGAGCCTGCCTAAGGCTAAAGTGGAGAGTTTTGGACTAATTCCATTGGCAGAAGAAATCTCAAAACAATCTAGTATAGACTCTGTTGTGTGGATATTTGTGGTAACTTTAATAAATATTTGTAATGAAAAGGAGCAAGCTGAGCAAGGTAAATTACAAAATGTAAATTTTGAGGAGAAAAGGAGCACCGCGAAGTGGAATGGAGCTAGGTTCTCTGTTCAGGAAATAAATGGATTAAGAAATTAATTTAAGGGAGTGGGGACCTCAGGGAAAGATCCCACCCAGCTAAATTTCCAACTTATGAAAAGGAATGAAAGAAAAGCTTAGAGTCAAGTGTGGTGGTGCACATCTTTAATTCCAGCACTGGGAAGGCAGAGGCTGAGAGATCTCTCAGTTTGAGGTCAGTCTGGTCTATAGAGAAAGTTCTAGAATAGCCAAGCTTAGGCAGTTAAAAAACAGAAAGCTGGTAAAGATATAATTGAACAAGGGGGCTATGTTCCAGCCCCAGCAAACAGCAGAACTTGGCAGCTTTGGCCACAGGGTTCTGGCTTAAGAGTTAAAGACAGAAAAAGGGGGTTATGGGATTTACCTCCGAGATTAAGGAAAGCCACTGAGGCCAGGCATCTGTCAGGGGTGTCCCTGAATGGCCTAGAGAGGCCATTGTGTGAAACTGTGAGGCTGAAGCCTGGATTGCCTTGGAGAACCCAAGATGTTAGAGTTGCCAGAGTCATGAGATAGTGGCCGAGGAGAGCTGCTAACAGGGAGTGGAAACCGCCCAAGAGAAAGCAGTGTGCTTCAGTCAACAAAGAGGAACGGAGTTGGAGATCTTAACAGTGTTTTGACATCAGCCATGAGGTGCAGAGTTTGGAGTTTGCCCTGCTGGTTTGGGTCTTGCTTTGGTCCAGTATTTCCTCACTATGCTCCCTTCCCTAGGTTTTGGAATGGTAATGTATATCCTGTACCATTATATGTTGGAAGTCCGTGATCCGCTTTTTGATTTCCATTTTACAGGGGATTACAGTTGAGAGATTGCCATGGATCTCAGAGAGACTTTAGACTTTGGAACAGTCTGAGACTGCTGTAGACCATGGGGACTTTTGAAGTTGCACTGAATGTGGTTTTTTTGCAGGAAGTGGAATGTGGTGGTTTGGAAAAAAGGCCCCAAAGGGAGTGGCACTATTGGGAGGCGTGGCTTTGTTGGAGTAGGTGTGGCCTTGTTGGGGGAAGTGTGTCACTGTGGAGACGGGCTTTGAGGTCTTCTGTTTAAGCATTGCTCAGTATAGTAAGAAATTACCAATACGGAGTCAGGTAGAAATATAAGGGTATTTAATAGGGAAAAGCCTTACTTACAGAGCGAACCAGCCAGCCGGTGGTAGTCTGTACAGCAAGAAGCAAAGAGAACACGAAACCGAAACACGCAGTCCCCCTACTCACTCTGACCACGCCCTCACAGGCCCTCAGGTACTCTTGTAGCCAGCCCCTAAGAAGGCGTGGCTACAGCTTCCCCTACAGCTCAGTGTCACAGTCTCCTTCCTATTGCTGAAATAGGAAGGAGACCACTCCAGCACCACATCTGCCGAACAGCACTGTGCTCTCCATCATGATGATAATGGACTGAACCTCTGAAACTGTAAGCAAGTCACCCCAATTAAAGGTTTCCTTTATATGAGTTGCTGTGGACATGGTACCTTTTCACAGTGATGGAAACCCTAACTAAATCATTCCCCAATGGTAAGAGAACATGATTCCTATTGCTTTTACATCTTATTTTATTTTACTTTTGGTTTTCTGAGACAGGGTTTCTCTGTGTAGCTTTGGAACCTATCCTGGCACTCGCTCTGGAGACCAGGCTGGCCTCGAACTCACAGAGATCCTCCTGCCTCTGCCTCCCGAGCGCTGGGATTAAAGGCGTGCACCACCAACATCCTGGCTACCATGGCAACTCTGATAAAGTAAAACATTTAATTGGGGTGGTTCGAGTTTCTATTATCGTCATGATGGGGAGCATGGCGGCGTGCAGGCAGACGTGGTGCTGGAGCTGAGAGTCCTCCATCTTGCAGGCAACAGGAAGTCAACTGAGACACTAGGTGGTATCCTGAGCATAGGAAACCTCAAAGCCCACCTCCCTAGTGTCCCACTTCCTCCAACAAGGCCACACCCACTCCAACAAGACCACACCTCCTAACAGTGCCACTCTCTATGAGATTATGGGGACTAATTGCATTCAAACTACCACAGCAACCAAAGGAAATTTATAATCTTGAGCTTGTGACTGACAATAGCAGTCAGTGTTCAGCTTATCAGAACTCCACTGATGAATATTAAAACTCTGCACCTTCAAAACAGAGGGGGGCAGTAATCTGAAACATTTTTCATTACCTTAGATCACTTTCTTATATCTTTATAACTAGCATTTACCTACCTTAAAACACTAGCTTTCACATGCTCAGACAGCTTCTCAGACCCTGAGAGCTTACTTCAGCTTTTATATCCTCAGACCTTTATTGCACCTTCTTAGGCTCCCATTCCCTACTAACACTTTCTTAGAGCATCATTGTTTACTTAAGCTTCATCCTCCACCTAACCCTTTACCAGAGACACAAGTAGTTATTACTGAGAGCAGTCATTGCAAAGCAAGTTCCTTTAAGTCCCTTTTGTTTTGCTCTCCTTTCTCCGTCACTGTCAGGTGGCTCCCCTGACACAGGACAGAGATTGTGGAGGAAACCTTTAAACATACTTGGGTCTAGAGCAGCAGGAACCATACCCAACTTCAGAGCCAGCTTTCCAATAAAGCAGGGTAGCATAAAACAACTTTGCTATTACCCATACTCAAAAGGCATTTGAGTCTCTCCTAAATTGAATTCAGTGACCAGAAAGCTCAGAGATAAATTCTGAGCCCTGCCCATCAAAGCAGCCATGGCAAGCAACATTAGCAGTGGTGACTAGCACCTGGCAGCAGCAGCGGGGAAAAAAAAAAGAAAAAAAAAAAAAAAAAAAAAAAAAAAAAAAAAAAAAAAAAAAAAAAAAAAAAAAAAAAAAAAAAAAAAAAAAAACCAACTCACAACGTATCACATTCAAAGGAGACCAGTCAGAAAAAAAATATGCAGTAGCCACCTTCATTCATACATTCAACAGAGCATGACCCATTTTTGTCTCAGTTTTCATGTTTGCCACAAGATTTATGGCTATAAGACTTATCGACACACCAGAAAACAGACCTGTCTGCACACACAAAAGAGACAAGACAAACTTCTCCAAACAACCAGAACCAGGTGGGTGGGTGATATCTCACTTTTTGCCCTGGACAGAAGTGAAAGAGTTTTGTAGTTGGATGATAAGGTGGGGATGATGTTTGGCTGTAGATGGGTTTTGGGTTTCCCATACTCGGGAATGTACCTGGGATGCTAACACGGGAAAGGTGTGTTGGATTGTGTGATTTAGAGAAGGGGAATGGCTGGCAAGCTTGCGTCAAGCAGATGGGGGAGCAAAGGAAATACAGGCTCCCACTTTACAGATTGCTACCACTAGGAAGGAGTGGGTAAATGGGAATATCCCTAAAAATACATCTGAGTGGTGGGGTCTGATGAGATAGGTAGGAGGGTCTATCCCCTACCCTGATAATAGGGAATGAGAAGGGAAGGTGGGTCCCCCAAACTTCATCAGGATGGAGTAAGTGGTCCCGGTGTCCAGAAGGAAGGTGATTTATTGCCCTGATACCATGATGGTTACCCAAGGCTCCCTGTAGAGTTGGCAGTGGTTGGGCCAAGGGAGCCCAAGCCCTCTCAGTTGTCCATGGCCAGGCCTAAGAGGTTGGCTAAAGGGCTATCGGGGCCTGATGTTCCCACACTGTGAGGGACGTGGGCGCAGTTAACATGATGGTACCTTGGACACGGTTGAGGTATGAAGGAGGCTTGGGCAGGCCCAGACCCAGTGACCCTCCTGCCCCCGACCACATTTGAAGCAGGGACCAGGAGGTTCTCGTGCTTTGGGAGACAAGGGAGCCTGGGCAGTTTCTATGGCCAACTGAAAGATCTCAGCTAACATCATATTATTTATTTATTTATTTTGGTTTTTCGAGACAGGTTTTTCTCTGTGTAGCTTTGGAGCCTATCCTGGCACTGGCTCTGGAGACCAGGCTGGCCTCGAACTCACAGAGATCCGCCTGCCTCTGCCTCCTGAGTGCTGGGATTAAAGGCGTGCGCCACCAACGCCCAGCCCAACATCATAGTTTTTTAAAAGATTTTATTTATTATGTATAACAACATTCTGCTTCCATGTATATCTGCACACCAGAAGAGGACACCAGATCTCATAACGGATGGTTGTGAGCCACCATGTGGATGCTGGGAATTGAACTCAGGACCTCTGGAAGAGCAGTCAGTGCTCTTAACCTCTGAGCCATCTCTCCAGCGCCCCCAACATTATATT